TTGGTTGTGTAGTGAAGATGTTGGTAGTGATGTAGTGATGATGTTGGTAGTGATGTGAAGATGTTGGTATTATGATCTGAGGAAAGTTCAATTACCTGAACCCAAGAGCCTAATTAGTTACCTGGGAGAGCAGTACCTCGTTAAGCCTTCCCTCAGGTGTGTGTGTGTCGTCTACCTATCACACACACACACACAAGTAGGTGGGGTGGTTGAGGATATATATTGTTAATGCAATTGTGAATTTATTCCCCCCTCTCTCTCTCTCTCTCTCTCCGTTAGCTGTGTTACCAATTACACTTCACTGTATTCCATTTACCATAGACCCAATTTCAGTTCTCAAATTGGTCACTCAAATTTCAGTTGACTCAATTACACGTTAATACAAAGTTATACCCGGGAAATGCCTCGACAAGTACCAATTTGCAGCCGCCCATTTATTCATCCACCATTCCCAATTACTGTACATTGAAGTATATCCAGGACCACAATACCACAACAGTTTACCCATTCTACTGATTACACTCCAATTTACACCAAGTCCTATTTATACTACAGGTTAACCACTTCTCCCAATTACAATATAGATAACCCTATTTTGTTTCATTCTGCTACGTTAATCCAATCATATTATCCGATTATAGTTCACCCAATTACAGTCAATAACTGCTTTGGCCAATTACAACTAATGTCATTGCACCTGTCCTGTTGTAAAAATTTGACCCATTTCAGAGTGATGTGTGGTGTGTGGTGGGGGTGTGGTGGTGGTGATGTGGTGGTAGTGGTGGTTGTAGTGGTGGTGTGGTGTGTGGTGTGGTAGTGGTGTGTGGTGGTGTGTGGTTGTGGTGGTGGTGTGTGGTGTGTGGAGGTGTGGTGATGTGGTGTGGGGTGTGGGGTGGTAGTGGTGGTGTGGTGTGGTGGTGTGGTGGTGGTGTGTGGTTGTGGTGGTAGTAGACAAGAAAGTAGAAGTAGACAGGATAGATAATACGACACATGTAAACAGGGTAGATGATACACTAGAGGTAAACAAAGGCAGACAAGACAGTAGAGATAGACAGGGTAGACAGGGTAGTGGTAGTAGACAGGGTAGACGGCAGTAGACAGGGTAGACGGCAGTAAATGGGCCGCCGATAAACTAGGAGGGCAGTCGGAGATGACAACCCTTATTGTTCTCACCACCCTCATTGATTCTTCTCTCTCTCTCTCTCTCTCTCTCTCTCTCTCTCTCTCTCTCTCTCTCTCTCCTCCTCCACCACCACCATCATCATCAATTCTCCCTCTTCCTCCTGTCTCCTTCACAACCTCCACCACCATTCTCCCTCTTCTCCCTAGCCTCCTTCACTCCCCCCATCATCAATCACCCTCTCCTCCCTCTTTCTCTCCATCATCATCATTCTCCCTCTTCCTCCTCATTCGTTCCTACGCCATCACTAATAATATCTATTCTTTATCCCTTCTATCCTTTATCCCTTCTATCCTTTATCCCTTTTATCCTTCGTTATTACCATTTAGTGGCTCCTCTCTCTCTCCCATCTTCTACCATTTACCTTCTTTATCTATTTGTCGTTTCGTACCCTAGTTATTGTTGTTATTAGGTGTGTGTGTGTGTGTGTGTGTGTGTGTGCGTAAAGATAGGCTAGTGGTGGTGGTGTTCTCATTAGCTTCCGTTGTCATTATTACTGCAATTAGTGGAGGCAGTTATGAGAGAGAGAGAGAGAGGAAGAGGCGTGTGTGCGCGCGTCTGTGTGTGTGTAAATCCCACTGAAAAACAACGTTGCCTTTAACCACAGTGAGAAGACTTAAGCTCAGTATACATGAACAAGGTCTTACACCAGTGGTGTCAAACTCAAAACCTTTCGAGAGCCAATTCTTATTTTAGTTACCCTCTTGAGGGCCAACACAAGTGCTATATCACATATTTGCAGGACTGAAGTTTACAGCTTCACACATTGCCTTACCTGGCTTACAGGGAATACCTCATTAAGGTTTGTCTGACCTTAAGTATGTCAAATTCATTTTACTAAATAAACATGATTATATCTAATTTTTTTCATAATTTCACAGGATGATAAATTTTACCGTCATCCCGCAGGCCACACCTGACCATCCCAAGGGCCACATTTGGCCAACGGGCCATGACTTTGACACCCCTGGTATACAGCACAGTAATGCATGAATACGGTAATACATGGATACAGTAATACATGATAACAGGATACTTGTAGTCCAATTAACATGAAACATTTAAGTTAACAGGTTGTAAGTGTCTTGATCTCAGGAAGGGTTGAGCCACTTACTGCTAGACGGGACACAAGACACTCACTCGAAGGCACCTTGCTTGGGTCGGGAGGATCAGACCCCATGATGTGTAAATTCTGATTAGGTTTGGTAGTATTGTCGACTATGATGTTTTAGCAAGACGTGGGGTGTGGTTATGTATCTATGTATGTATGTATGCATGTATGTATGTATGCATGTATGTATGTATGTATACATACGTATTTACAACGTGATTCCTAAGCCCACTCCTTCCACCTATTATTTGACCCTACTTCTTGACACATCTCCCTCACCCCACTCTTTGACTCATTGTTGACCCCACTTCTTGACCTCTCCCTCCACCCCACTCCCCAGCCACATTCATGGCCAACTCCTTGATCCCTCCCTCACCTTACTCCTTGATCCTCCCTCCCCACTACCTGGCCAGCGATCCCTTTAACCCCCCCCACCCAGGCCTCTATATCCACGACCTTGTCACGAAAAACAATATACCTAAAGGTCTGGTAAAATATCGCCCATCAAAGATAATATCCCGGCCTGGTACCTGTACCTGTCTTGATACGTGTAAACGAGGAGGGGCGACCGTCTACCTGAGCTTGATATATTGCGTCCTGTTCGCCTTCCTCCACTCTTACAGATGGTATATGCATATGGCCACGACAAACAAGTAACGAATAACGTCAGAGAGATACAAAATAACTATACTTTATGGTGTCTACAGTGGGTAAAGTTAGATACATACAGACACCATATGATAAGGAAAGACTGACTGGAACTATGATAAATGATTCTGGATGTCTCAGAGGCAGAGGTGAGGTATGCTGGGGGAAAAGTGAAGGGAGTAAAGTCAGGAAAGTGTGGAATGATTAGAACACAATAAAGAATGATGATGGTGCTGTTAAGTACATGGAGATCAAAAAGAAACAACAGTGGAAGAACTGAAGCGAAGGAGAGACGAAGATAAATGGAAGAAAAACCTTACTACGAAGTTTTTTGTTGTTTTTTAAGAGAACAAGAAAATATGTGAGAGAGAACTGAACAGGGTGAGAAAACCAAGAGAATAATTACGAATGAGAAAATAAAAACATTGAAGTATAAGGAAGATGAAAATATAAGGAAGATGAAAGTATAAGGAAGATGAAAGTATAAGGAAGCTGAAACTATAAGGAAGATGAAAGTATAAGGAAGATGAAAGTATAAGGAATATGAAAGTATAAGGAAGCTGAAACTATAAGGAATATGAAAGTTATAAGAAAGATGGAGAGATTCCTTCCAACAACTACTAAATGAAACAAATGAAAGAGGTTAAGTTTATACTGTACAGACCTGATGGACTGAACCACATCACAACAGAAGAGGCAAAAGCCATTAGGGAAGAAGGAAGAGGAGATGAGGAATGGAAGTAAGATCAAGAAGAGAGAGAGAGACAGAGTGAATGACATAGTAGAATGATATAGTAGAGCTAGACAGACAGACACAGAATAATATTAAGATAATTGTGATAATATCTGGAGGGGTAAAAGAAGAACTTGTTGAACGCCATCTAGAGTTTTAATAAGGAGTGTCAAGTATATTTTTAAGAGTTTGTTTCGGGGGGAAGACAGAAATAAAATGACTTCTTCCTCCATTTTAAAGCATAGGTGTACAGCAATGTTTTCATAGTTGGAAGAAGAAGAAGAAGAAGAAGAAGAAGAAGAACATGACGAAGAGGAGGAGGAAGAGGAGGAGGAGTGATGGTGACAGGTGTACAAGCTTGGTGAATAATGATCACGGTTGTCAACGGATGGTGAAGGAGATGCTGTTTGTAGATGACACTGTTTTAATGGCTGAATAAGATTATGCTTTTCTATATATATCTACACAATGAGTTAAGAGGAATAGGCACTAGGAGAAACTCAATACTAACTGTAAACAAAAGTGTACTGATGAAAATAAATAATATAAACATAAAATGAACACAAGGGGATCATTTCTCATACACCAGCGAGTAAAAAAAATGCCAAGAAATGGATTGATGAGAGATAAATTAAACCACATTAGAGGAAGAGAAACAAATATTATGACCAGAGAAAAATATACAAGAAACACATAGGAACGAAAGAGATAAAGTTGAACCACTGACCCGACAAATTAGTAACGAAAGGAATGACACTTACGCTCTTAAGATCAACCAGCAGGGAGTAAACAGGATGTAGCGAATAAAATAAGCAGCGAATGATTTTTTTTTTTTTGGAGGGGAGGGGGTACTGATGATGGGTAATAATGATACTAGGTTTAAGTGAAGTGGTAAGGGTTGAACCACATGAGAGTATATTTTCATAAACCTTAATTGTCGAAGGGGAGAGAGTACCATAACAAGAGCGCATTTAGAACACAATGTATATTTACTCTTGATTCCAGCCACCACAGTAATTAGTATTGGTGTTATAACCGACCTAACTCCCCACCCCACCCACCCCCCTCCCCACTCTCTATAATGACAGCCATGATACAGGTAATGGTGTTAAGTTGGAGAGGGAAGGGAAGGGAAGGAAAGGGAAGGGAAGGGGAGGGAAGGGAAGGGAAGGGAAGGGAAGGGAAGGGAAGGGGAGGGAAGGGGAGGATGGCTGGTTGGTATATTATCACCCCTTGTGTTGTTTTGATTCTATACACCACAGATGTTAACCTTATCAACACTATTGTTCTTCTTGCTCCTGTTGTAGTCATGTAGGAGATCAGTCACTCTGCGATAGCCACAGGGAACAGCGTGTAGAAGTTGATAGGAGCAGTGCGATACCATAGAGTCTCTGTCCCATTGGCTGCGATGGTCAACAAACAACTGCATAGCGCCATACTCAGGATCCTGTAATCATGGTGGGTGGTGATGGTAGTGCTGTATTCATGGTGGGTGGTGATGGTAGTGCTGTAATCATGGTGGGTGGTGATGGTAGTGCTGTATTCATGGTGGGTGGTGATGGTAGTGCTGTATTTATGGTGGTGGTGATGGTGGTGCTGCTATCATGATGGGTGGTGATGGTAGTGCTGTAATCATGGTGGGTGGTGATGGTAGTGCTGCTATCATGGTGGGTGGTGATGGTAGTTCTGCTATCATGGTGGGTGGTGATGATGTTGTGGAGAGGTATGGTGGGTATTATGGTAGTGCTGTATTCATGGTTGTGGTGATGGTAGGAGAAGGTATGGTGATGGTGATGATGGTGGGTGGTGATGGTGGTGCTGCTATCATGGTGGGTGGTGATGGTAGACATGAAGGTGGTGGTGACAGTGAGAAGTATGGTAGTCGTTATGGTAGTCTTAGACATTTATGGTATAATTACTATAAAGTATCTGTAATTACTGTAGAAGAGATGTTTACTACCACACACACACACACACACACACACACACACACACACACACACACACACACACACACACACACACACACACACACACACACACACACACACACACACACACCCTCAAAACAACACATACCTTCACAGACAGACAGAAAGACAGACAGACAGACAGACAGACAGACAGACAGAAAGACAGACAGACAGACACGATACTCACGGCTTGTGGTGTATACAGAGGGCACAGTGGGTCATAATAAGGGCACTCAATATCCTGTGTGTGCCCAGGAGACGGGACATGGCCGGGTTCACTGTAAACAAATAAAAAATAAATACATTACACTCTATCTTAAACGTGGTGGTAATAATAGTAATAATAATAGTAATAGTAATAATAGTAGTAATAATAGTAGTAGTAATAATAATAATAATAATAATAACAATAATAATAATAACAGAATCAACGGCCTACAATAACACCTTGAACCTTTAACTTCCATCACATTTTATTTAATTCATTACACCTGTACCTGAAACCATTTTATTTCTGAACTAATAAAAGTCTAGAAGAATTAATTTAGCGAGAATTCCGAGCGAAGTTGATTCTTTCACTGGAATTTATATAAACGAATATACAGTATATATATTTTTTTAAACTTTGGTTCTAAGGTATTTTAAGTAATATGTGAATCACCAAATATGCAATAGACGGGAATAACTATAAAATTAACCCTTTTCTTCATTAAATGGTATTATACAGTGTGGTGGTATCTATATAATGGTAGTAAGGTGTGTTTCAGTGGAGTGTGTGTGTGTGTGTGTGTATAGTCAAGGAGTGTGGTGAGTTCGTGATATGAATGGGCCAACACAATCAGTAACACACTTCAATGCAATCACAAACACACCTGCAACACAATCACTAGCACACCCACCAACACACCCCCAACACAATCACTAGCACACCCACCAACACACCTGCAACACAATCACCAACACACCTCCAACAAAATCACCAGCACACCCACCAACACACCTGCAACACAATCACCAACACACCCCAGCACAATCACCAACACACCCCCAACACAATCACCAACACACCCCCCCAACACAATCACCAACACAATCTCCAACACATTCTCCAGCACAATCAGCTTAAGAGTGTCCTTTTACCCCCAAGTTATGGAGGCTCCGGACCAAAACTTAATCCCAGGCAGCAGTTGCTCAATTGAAAACCAATCGACAAGGCACACCAGTAGCCCAAATCAGAGTAAAGTGCTCCCCCCCCTACCTACACCCACCGCCCGTCAAAGACCTTAACACTTCCAGCCCCTTCTACACGTCAAAGACCCACTCTAGACCTCCCTTCTACACACGCCTCCTGTCAGCTCCCTCACACGCGTCAAATCTTACCTCCACACCCTCCCCCACACGCCTCCCCGTCAAAGACCTCACCTCCAGCCCCCCCCACACGGCAAAGACCTCGCCTCCGCCCTCCTTCACGCCGCCGCCAGCCACACCTTCCGCCGCTAACTTATGCAAATCATATTCATCTAGGATTATTATCGCCTCAGTCTGGGGGTTCTCTTCTTTCAGATATTTGCTTTTTTCTCTGGCTTTACTTTCTCACTTTCAGTTTTTCTCTTCTCTGGTTCTCTCTCTTTTCTTCACTCTCACTTTTTCTCTCTCTCTCTCTCTCTATCTCTCTCTCTATAAAGTGAATGTTCCATCAGTTGTAACTATTAATGAAAGAAATGAGGGAAAATGAAGGAAGGAAGGATGGAAGGAAGGAAGGAAGGAAGGAAGGAAGGATTGGAGGAAGGAAGGAAGGAAGGAAGGAAGGAAGGAAGGAAGGAAGAAAGGAGGAGAGGCATGGCCGGACGTGTTGCTGCAAGATTTATTTGGAGAGTGTTGGAGATGCCAAGGGGAGAGGTGTTGGAGAGGCCAGGGGGAGGGGTGTAAGGGAGGTGTTGGAGTGGCCAGGTAAAGAAATGTTGAGGGTGCCATTGGAGAGGTGTAGGAGAGCCGGGAGAAAGGTGTAGGAGAAGTGTAGGAGAAGTGTTGAAGAAGTGCTGGAGATTCTTCTTTTCGTAATTCTTAAGTCACCACCACCACCACCACCACCACCACTCACCACCACCAACTCACTTCCAGGCTATAGGCTAGTACACAACCCCACATTAGCGCCACACACACTTACCTATACGGGACAAACACGGCAAAATAACACGGTAAAATAAGACGGTAAAATAACACGGCAAAATAACACGGTAAAATAACACGGCAAAATAACACGGCAAAATAACACGGTAAAATAACACGGTAAAATAACACGGTAAAATAACACGGTAAAATAACACGGTAAAATAACACGGCAAAATATCGCGGTAAAAATGGATATCGTAATTCTCCTTGACTCTTCTGTACCGGGGAGTGCTGTTTGTATGTCTTGGTCATGAATCTGAACACCGAAAACACACGTGAGGATTATTTTAATGGAGTATTGTTATTTTTTTTTCTACAATGTTAATGGTATTGAAAGTTGAGGAAAAGACAACGTTTTTTTTTCTTTTCGTTTGTTAATTTATTAGATTTTGTTATTAAACCCAAAAAGTAGAAAATACAAAAAGGAAGATAAAATAAAATAGAATAGAATAAATATAAAATAAAATAAAGCAAAATAAAATAATAAAATAAAATAAAACAAAATAAATATAAATAAAATAAAGCTATCTGGGGGTTAGGTTAGGTTAGGTTAGGTTAGTGTTAGTGTTAGGTTAGTGTTAGGTTAGGTTAAGTTTGGTTAGAGTAGGGTATTTTAGGTTAGGTTACGTTACGTTAAGTTAGTGTTAGATTAGGTTCTATTGGGTTAGACTAAGTTATTATTAAGGTGACATAATCAGGTGAAATAAATTTAGGTGACTCAAGTGATTCAAAAGTCAACACAGTGAAGAAGCGATACACTGACACACCACACAGTTGTCGTTTACATCCGGGTAGTGGACTTGACGCTCGAGTGGGGGAGGAGAAATAAATCAAATACGGAGAGCCAGAGTAGGGGAGACGATTCACCTTAACAAGACACAAAATCAATAACTTCCTCCTTGACCTAAAACTATCACACACACACACACACACACACGAGGGACACACACACACACACACACACACGAGGGAAACGTTCACACACACACACACACACACGAGGAGAAACGTTCACACACACACACACACACACACACACGAGGGAAACACACACACACACACGAGAGGGAAACGTTCACACACACACACACACGGGAAACACACACACACACACACACACACACATATATATATATATATATATATATATATATATATATATATATATATATATATCTGACAGAATTACAGAAAACGTAAACAAAATAATAAAAAACTGATCAACTTCATTTAAAAAACAAAAATCATTACTATTGGTGGTGGTAGCGGTAGTAGTGGTGTTGGTGGTGGTGGTGGTAGTAGTAGTAGTAGTAGTAGTAGTACTTAGCTCTCGATGCTGCACACAGGAGGAACGAGAATGACAAGATATGGGCATACGGGGAGAGAATTCAGAACGTTGATCAAGGCAGCTTCACTCCTCTAGTGTTCACAACCTCTGGTGGGATGGGACCAAGTGCAAGATGTTTCTACGCCAGACTCGCGGAGGTGATAGAACAGAAGCAGCAGCCCAGGAGTTATGTTACAGCCTGGATGAGATGTCGACTGTCCTTCTCTCTCCTTTGGTCGACTTTGCTCTGCCTCAGGGGAACGAGAGCTTCGGCCCCAAAGCCGACAACAGTTGCAGATATTGACTATGAGGCTACAGTCACTGAATGCCGCATAGATCTGTGGCTCAACTAATTCAACACAGATAGGATAGCTTCTTATGTATTAGGATATTTAATATTAAGGTAATAAAATGGCGGCGAAGGTGTGGCTATTGGGGGAGGCTGGAGGCCACGTAGTAGTAGTAGTAGTAGTAGTAGTAGTAGTAGTAGTAGTAGTACTGTCAACACCACTATCACATTCTTTTTTTATTATGGCCTCCAGCCTCCCCCAATAGCCATACCTTCGCCGCCATTTTATTACCTTAATATTAAATATCCTAATACATACAATCTGTCACACCACCACTACTACTGTCACTACCACTACCAACACTACAACCACTAGCCCCACCACCCCTACCAATACCACCACCATTTATCCTAACCCAACAGAACCTACTCTAACAGTAACTTAACCTAACGGAACCTAAAATAACCTAACCTAACCTGACTTAACCTAACACTAACCTAACCCACAGATAGCTTTATTTTATTTAGATTTATTTTGTTTTATTATTTTATTTTGCTTTATTTTATTTTATATTTATTCAATTTTATTTTATTTTATTATCTACTGTCTCTCTCAGCTGACCCCCCACAACCCGCCACTGATGCTGAAACCCACACGTATAAATATTAATGTTCTTGCCATTGCCACTCTCCTCTACACGTCTCTGGCACTACCTAAAAAACTCCAAGTTGATTCTCCATAAATATTACCCGTCGACCACCCCGCCACCTCACTGCTGACGGAGGAAGACTTACCTGTAGTACCTGGTTGGTGATGTGACCTGTGCTAGACGTATGGGCAAATATTTACTCGTGTTTTATGGTAGGTTATGAAATGAAGGTAGTTTTGTTGTTATTGTTGTTGTTGTTGTTGTTGTTGTTGTTGTTGTTAGTTATTGTTATTATTATTATTTTTGTTGTTGTTATTTTTGTTGTTATTGTTGTTATTGTTATTATTGTTGTTGTTAGTTATTGTTATTATTATTATTGTTGTTGTTGCTTTTGTTGTTGTTGTCAGATTAAGTTAGGTTAGGTTAGGTTAAATTAGGGCTTGGTTAGGTTACACTTGGTATACGATTCTGTACTTATTCCACCTTAGTATTACTAATTAAGTCCGTTCGTCTCTCTTCCCTGGATCACGAAACCGTCAAACTCGTGAACCCGAAGCAGTTGATACATTATTCTATCCATGGCTCGGATTCGTGAGTCTGAATCTCGGAGTTCGGGGATTCGGGATTCGGGGTTCGGGGTTCGGAGTTCGGGGTTCGGAGTTCGGGGTTCGGAGTTCGGGGTTTCGGGGTCTGGAGTTCTGGGGTCTGGGATCGGGGTCTGGAGTTCGGGGTCTGGAGTTCGGGGTCCGGGGTCTGGAGTTCGGGGTTCGAGTCAGGGTCTGGGGGTCTGGAGTTCGAGTTGGGGTCTGGAGTCGGGGTTCGGGGTTCGGGGTTCAAGGA